TTGAGAAATGCAGCTGCAAAAGAAAACAGAATTTTCAAACTAATTATATGTCTGAAATAGCATTTGCATAATTTATCTATATTATGCTTATTATTATTATTAGGGAGGAGTAACAGTTTTTAGGAAACTGATGTCCCTAACCTCCCTATACTGCCAAGCAGCATAGAGAGGGTGAGAATCACTCCTCCTGGCCCTCCTAAACCTTGGAAGCACAAATGGCCCTGTAATTCCATTGCAACCAGTTCTGCAGTATGAACTGCTATTCGTACACAATTCTCTTCCCTTGTCCTGCAGAAGACAATTATTGACTTGTTCCACTAATACACAGAGTAAAGTAACTGTTGCCAGGAGGGTCAGGTGTGTAAACTCGTATCCTAAATGCTCGAAGACTGAYGCTATCAACCGACTCCAGGTGCCTAATCTCTTCCATGTGTACCTTTTCCACACGTTATTTGTGCCTCTGCTCTTAGTTATGTCATAACCTCTCCCTCTTCCTCAATCTATTTTTACCCATCTGTYAAAAGCAGTGCAGTGTAGTGTTGGCAAATATCAGTTCCTTCCATGTGCTAATGATGTTGTAACATCTATATAGTTTACCCTGGCTGGGGTTTTTGACCTTGCATCCTAACTCTTCTCATATCCTGCAATCCCAGAACACTACATAGACCCCTTCTGAGATACTCAGATATATCTTCCTCTTTATTCTCTCAGCAAGTACTGTTTAACTACCACTTTGAAACTTCTGGAGAGAACCAAGTAAAAGACTCCTTTTCAACAGGAAATGGGCAGAACCCAGGGACTTCTGAACATGAGAGACTTGCCCCTTTAAGCTGGTTCTCCAAAAAAAAAAAAAGAAAAAAAAGAAAAAGAAAAACCCTTTTATTTAACAGATAATGATGAGATCTCAGAACTTCTCAACATCTCAACATGACAGACCTGCTCCTCTAAGCCTGCTCTCTAGCTGTTGTCTTTATTCTCTTCATGAGTATCCTCACCTTTCCACAGGATCTGTTATACCTGCAGCAGAAACGCCCAGTTAAAATTCCCTTGGTTTTATCATCTTTCTTCCTTGACCTAGCAGAAAGTTGTCTTAAAACTCGATTTTCTACTCACCATCTTGCTTAAGAGTATGAGTGAGCGACCTCAAGCCTTCCCAATCCCCCTTAGGCTTTCCTGAGGACTTGGTGCATTGGGCTCACTTGGTGTTTTCTGTTAAACAGGACAAAGCCAAGGCCCCCTTCTCAGGGGCCAACAGCCCCCTACTCTGATGTTTCTATCATCTCAATTGTCTATAGGATTGTCAGGAATTCTGCCTCTTCTAGCTGGTACTAAAGATACTTAGTTATCAGTTGGTTGATCGAGAGGAAAATTATGTTAAAAAAAATAGTGGTCAAAGTTTGCTTTTCTGATTCTGCCTGTTTCCCAACATTATGCATTATTACCTGAGATTTATTTAGATTTATTGGATATTTTAGGCAGAACAATCTCTAGAGGTCTCTTCCAAGCTTAACCATTCTGTGATGCTATAATTTTTTTAAATGATTTTATTGCCTAAAATAGTACAATAAGTCTTAGTGAAGCAGAGAAGCTTTATATTAGCTAATACAGTTAGAGATTGTAAAGTGTACATTCATACAGGTCAAGTTATCTGCCCAATGTACACATTATCCAAGCGCTTTTCTGGAAACGTTACAACTTAGTCTCCCTTTACAGCCTTCTGCAGTGATAAAAGAGCAAATTGAAAGCAACTTCAGATTTAATTTTGGTGTTTACCTGGTGTTTACCAGGTTTTTACCTGTTGTACCCAACACTGCACACATGAAAAAAAAAACCTTAAATTGGATATAAAGGCTTTGTGCTTTCTGAATGAATGCTTTAGGTTTGTACATGCACTACTAAATACAGTATCATCCCTTTCTTATGGAAACAATRCCATTAAGTAATTATTCGCTCAGTGCAGTCATGACTGTTGAACAAACAACCTACAGGCGAATCRGACTGTAGCTACAACCGGTCACTTTAGACACAGTCTCTTTAAGCGTAGGAATAATCTTTCTTACTGTGACAGTGTTTGAGCACTGGGGCAGGTTGGCTGTCTGTGACATCTCCATCCTYGGAGGTCTGCGCAGCCCGGCTGGATGCAGCCCTGACCTCACCCTGCCCCGAGGGCCCTCCAGCCCTTCCCACCAARGAAAGGCTGGGAAACGGCTTCTCTGAAATACCCACACCTGCAAAATACTTATTATCAAAACAGCATTTGAACAGCTAACAAAACAGGTCATTCCTAAGGAAGTACATAGCAGTCAAATGGCTCCTGGAAATCTCTGAGGCCGTTTTGCCTTCTGCCCCACGGATTCCTGATGCTGTGGATCTCACAGCGCAGAACGAGCTCTGTAAGAAAGAGYGTGTGGGAAACACACTCGCGTGGGCAACGCGGGGTGGTTCCCATCAGCGACAACGGGGTGCTTCCCTCCCCAATAACAATAACGTAAAAATAAAAGACAATAACAAAATTAAACAAAAGACAAAATAAAAATACAAAAATACAATAAAAAT